AACAAACTCGTCCGGTACAATACTGCAGAGATTAATAAGTCGAATAAAAACGGGATATCGATCGGATAATTCGTAGAAATTCGACTGCACGTCAAAGCGGTTCGATTCCCAGTTAAAACATTCAGGAAGGGAAAAATAGACGCAAACGAGTGGAAGCACGACGAAAAAACTTACCGTCGACAAATCGGAATCCGTGGAGATACTTCCTCCTCTTGAAAGCTTTCGCTAAGGTTGAAACGAGGACGAGAGTCCCAGAAAATGAGAGCCAGCTTACAAGTACCGCATCGATTTTGTATCGGATCGTTTTCCGAATGATTGTTCTATTCACTAACGGCTATTCCGTGCGACCGCACACCATTACGAAGCTAACAGTCTTTAGCATCGACGCTAATTGAAGACCGTTCGTCTATTAAAATTACAGTAAGTACTGAAGTCAAAGAAAATTTGTGTCAACGGTTTACGTCGTCACATTTAATTGTCTGCAATTGTTTTATCGTCGTTTGGTAATATAACGAAAATAAAGAGAACCGAAATAGAATCCAATATTCACTAAATGAGAGTGTAACAGGAAAAGAAAAACAGCTGATAAAATAACTATCCATTTATCAGAAACAAAATGAATCACTTTACTGATAGACATGTAGAAAATTAATAGAAATAAATACATAATAGTACGAAAGTGTATGCACATTTTTGGAGTTCAAATTGAAACATGAGGGTATAAACATAAATATAAGTATTTAGATAAAACAGAGAAATAACATTCATGTTTTGCCTATGTTTAATTTGTCGTGATTGCGAAAAACTGTATGGAGGAATCAAAAATATCAAACAGAATTGCATTATGAATTACAGACGATAATTCGGCGCGTTGTGTCGGAAGATTAAACAATAGCGCTTTAACGATATCGCAATCCGAATTTCTGTATCCTTCCGTGATTCTAGAACAATTTCCAATCAGGAGCTGTTATTAAACCAAATTGTTTTCATTTGAAACTCTTCAAATTGAAGCGGAATACGATTCTTTTTATGTGAATCTATAAAAATCCCTTAACAATGCATACATGACAATACTGTATGATATATGCGAGCGTGGATATATGTGGAATACCTGGAAAGGCTGTCACCGCCGGATTTCAGAAACATTTTCGAGGAAACAGTTTGAAGTTAATATATGTACAGAAAGCTATAAATTGGACTTGTAATATCATAACAATACTTCAATGAACAGAAAATTTTAAATATACGACAACGTAAATTCCAAAATCATTAAATCAATTACACAAATACCTTATTATACTGATTATCAGATATTTTTTAAATAGCTCGAACAGTTTTCTCAAGAATTTGTCAAATGTTTTAACATTTAAAATTTCTTGAGAGTTAAAAATCTGAACATAGCATAAATGTTATGGCATAACTATTGTATTCAACAGAAAAGAACAGTATTACCTACTATTTTTATTAAAACTCCTTATTATAACATGTTACCTATACTGCAGTACTGTTTACAAATACGTGTAACATTGTCTAGTAATGAAAGAATAAATAAGGAAACGTCTTAAAAGACTTTTTATTTCAAATGTAAGCAAGTAATGATCACAGAAGCCTCTAGAAAGAATGTTATTTCTCCTGACATTAGAGACACATGCGTCAACAAAATAATAGAAAACGAAAATAATGGAAAACAATAGCAAATAACAAAATCATAAAACTGGATTCGACGGAAGTAGTCGGAAACCGCGCGTTTGCGGGGGCACAAATTAATTAGTCCTGTCAGCGCGTTATATTCGTCGGGGCTAATAGACACGGAAGGGAGCACGATGAGTGCTGGAACCGAGTTGTTTGCCAGCTTATCGTCAAACAAAGTCCACCTGAATCACTGCACAAAACCGGAAGCAGTTTCGACCGGCGGTGGCTATAAGCGATCAATTTACATCGTGGACACCGGTTCACCGGAAACGAAGTCACACGATAATGTACCGATAATCAGCAAGCGACGAAACGCGGGCAAATCGGATCGAAAACAACACTCGCGGGCATCACGAGGGCATCGAATACGCGACGGCGAACTCGAATGAATTTAATGATAAAGAGAAAACGGGAAATATCCGTTTGACACACCGTGACGAGCAGATGCGACTGTTGGTGGTCGAAGATTGAGGATGGTACTGATTCAACGACACTTTTCGGAGGGTAGAAAATCCATGGAGAACCGTGGACGCAGTGCAGACGTACGCGCGCGTTCGCTTGCTACGAAGGAAGCGGTACCACTGAAACGTCGGGGGGTTGCCGCTCGGCGGGCGGCCTCGACTCGCTTGGGGCTGCTAACCGTAGGCCAGCCAGGGTTGGTGCTGACGAAACGACGTAGGTGGTGGTGGCAGACACGCGCCGGAGTATCGAAAGATCTCACTGCACGGAGCCACCTGTCGAGGCGTAACTTACGAAACTTTCGGTGCCACCGAACGTAATTTCTTTTCCGACAAAATATCGCGCCGGGAAATTCGTTGAATTCGCTCGGGATTTTTCTCGTGACGAAAGGATATCTCGGTGTTAACATTTAGCCAACCGAAGGAGGAATTCTTCCAATTCTTCCCTAGCAACGCATTGTCATTTATTTTGTTTATTTTTTTTCTTTTTTTATTTAGTAAGTCTTGGATTGGGGGAATTTGCTATTAGATAAATATCTTTCTTGGTTTTGTGAAATATAATTTTTTATCTGTTCAATGAGTTTAATTAAAGTTAACGAAAAAGAGTATAGTTGTAGTTTTTTTTAGGCGGTTGCATAGGTGCGGAGGTAACTGTACCTAATATGGAACACACGTATTAAAAACCATGATAGAAATAGAAATGTTTCTTTTCTTGAATAAAATAGACGTTAAAACGTGGAAAAAAAATATATAAATAGTAGATACTTGTATGTTGATAGTTAATTATGTACGAATTTAAGTCTTTTAAAAGTATATTAAAGGTAAAAAATGTTAAAAATGGCGAGCTAAACAAGCTTTTCTACGTAACATAAAGTATCTACGAAAGTAAAAGAAACATTAGAAACTCATTTTTATAGTGAACATACATTTTTGTTGAATTACAAGGAATAAGAAAGAAGTCTTCCACCTTTTTAGTCTCTTATTATATTAATTTTCTTGTTGTTCTTTTTCTGTATGTTGGACAGATAAACGACGCACTGGAAACAACGTATTTCACGCGAGATTAATACACTGTATAATTGCATTCATTAATAAGGAATATGTAGTTACTTACCAATAGAAAAATCATAACTGTAGTAAGGAAAAGCATAATAACCATACTTCTGAATACCAACTTGAAGACAAATATGTTTAATAATAAATCATAAAAGAGTAATATTTTTTAAACTACCCTTACTAAAACATGTTACTACTTGTCTCGTTTCTCGAAAAGCTTATACTTTACCGAATACAATAGTGCTTCCTTTTCAATATTAGATTTCCAACTCATTCCTGACTATTAGTATGATTTTTCCTATTATTAACGAAATTCTTTGTTTAATAACAGATGCATTTACTTATTTATTTAATTATTTACCGAAATATTATGAGATTCCATATTATGTACAATTATTCTACTGCAGAGTGCGTGTCTCACTTTGAAACGGTCAAACTTCATTAGTTTGTTCTATGAACAGTGACACAAAAAAGTCATACAAACATTGGTCTGCAAATCAAGTTTTTATAAAGAAAAGTTAAACGATGCATATAAAAAATAAACCCTAGTTCGTTACTGATACATTATAAAATAATGTAATAATAATATTAGCCGTTTGATATTATTATTACAAACCAATAATATAAGCGGAATAAGTATCAAATTCGGAAATTAACAAACTTAGCCTCTTAAAGATTTCTAGCATGAAATTTCTTAATTAATTATTAATTAATCTAGTACAAAATGCTAATAATCAATATTTTACTATTATTAAATTAATTTTTCAGCTTATTTAGAGCGGTTTAGTAGTTTAATGATTTGATAATGTAGTAACTTAGTAGTTTGGAGGTATCAGTGATGAAATTAACGAAATTGTTAGTTTATTTAAATTAATGATGTTACAATTATTGGAAAGCTGTATCTAACGGAACTTGATTCGTAACGCAGTATATAGAAAATAATAGTAGCATTTGATTTCTGATAAAAATAATTGCAAGATATATAAATCTACATAAATAAGATAAGCAACAAGATATAAATCTATTTTGTAGAAAGTTAATTAATCAACTACGATTTTGTCTAAGATATTTTAGCTCAAGATAAAGCATTTTGAAGACTAATTTTGATAAGATACTTTTTACCAATTTCTCACAATTAGCAAACCTAAATAATGTATGTATATGAGAAAAATTGTAGAAGAAACAACGTATATAATTCAATTAACTAATGTCATCAGAGGAGAGGTAAGAACAGATATTTTAAAAATGTTACCTTGTATTTCTCAATAATTTGAACATATTCACATGAGATTTTACTACATTTCCTGTCGTATTTCGATGAAATAATCGTGTCTTTAAGGTTTCTTGGAACAAGCAGTTGCAAGAAATATTTCTTCTAAAGCAAGTAAATATAGCCCAGATTTACACCATGATATATTTATATAATAACAGCTTATCACTGCATATGATTTTATTGAAATGTTTTTTATTTCTATTCAACAATTAAAAATGTATAAAAAATACTAACTGACAGGTAGAAATGCATGTATATGTATATTAAACAGGGTTGCCGGAAAGTGCAAAGGGATGAATATAGGAAAATGGAGCGTGTTATCCAGATTTTATGACGGCCTGTGTTACCCGTAAACCTGTAATTACGTATAACTTGATCCAAATTGATCAAAGAGTTTTGAATAGTTTAAAATTTATATTCCAAATTTAGGTATTCAAATTACAATACGAATTTATACATATAAATTGCGACAAAAATAACGTTTCAAGCAAAAATTTGTTCTAAAGCTGTAAACTAAAATTTAGAAAGCTCCTAGTGCAGTTACAGCGCTGCTGAAAATACTTGTTAAAACATAAATATATTTGTATAAAAGATCCATTTACTTGTAGAAGGAAAAGACAATATGAGTAAAGTAAATACAATATTAGCATTTTAATAAATAGACCAATCGATGTTAAGATTTTTTTAAATTTGTTATTTGTTATACGTGATTTATTATCTGTTTATTGCCAGATTACGTTTCTTGCAATGTATAACTTTTGATTTCGTTTCATTTGATTTCTTCTACTAAATATTTTATTCGTAGGGGATAAAGACAAGTACATCCTATTTAAAAATATGGTATCATTAACGATCTTTTTGCCACAGACTTTTATGTAATCACAATTCCCTGTGTGGCAAGATATTGACATAAAGGTGATTCTACGGATTTATATAACAGACTGTGCGTAGCTATCACGCCGTAACGGCTATATGCCGCACTTGCTACACGATTGAAGGTAGACGTACGTATACATGTAGTAAATAGGTGACAATGCCTTCCTATGCTACGTATACACGTCACTTCACCACTCTCATCCACCGTTTGCTTCTGTCGCTGCTCTCACCTTTCAAGGAAAACTTTTTCATCGATTTCAAATTAGTAATTATTTCGCCGCATGTATCATACCATGGAAATCTAATAAGAAGAAATATAATACATGGATACATAAAACAAAAGCTATTTGTGGAATAAAAAAGAAAACATTTTTGTACAACCGGAAAATTCGTGTAAAAATAGATGCACATTTTTTTCAGAAATTGATAATACTAAACTGAAGATAAATTGATAAAGTATATCAATTCTGGAACATGTGTGCCAGTTTTTAAAATTAGGACGTGGGTTTTTGTCTCGACAGGTTTTTTGGATGGATCATATAGGACATACGTGTCTAGGAAAATTAAATAATATCCCAGTACAAATAAAGATATATCAAAATTGTCTGTCAATGCAGCACCAGATAGTGAAATCCGATATCGATACTAACCTTCATGTACGAATAAAAGTAAAATATCTAATAACATATACCTATGCTTTCCAAAAATGCATACTTATATCTATGCCAAATAATATGAATAACAGCATAAAAATTAAATATCACTTTAACTTAATAGATACTTACAATTAAAATTTGTAGGGGAATCTTTGAATTCCTAGTGTAAAAAATAACATTTCTGCAACTGTAAAATTGCAGCTAAATACATTACCTGAATAAAAATTATTCTGCACATTGATGTGTTGTTTATTGTCATGCTTATTAATTGGAGACAGCTGTATGTATATAGTCAGAGTAAATTACAAAATGATAAAATAACATACATACATATGTATACATGTCTCACAGAAAATCAAAAGCACACATAGGGCATACATATATGCCCTATCAGAGTCAAAGGATTAAAGGCAATTTCCTAAGTTTTGAATACTTTTGCTTTTAAAACCATACGTTACATGAAAAGGTTGTACGTTTTAATAGTTTGTACTGTATGGTTAGTTTTAAAATACAATTTACACTTAGGTGAAATAAACGTTAAGTATTGTGGTTAACAAATAAAGGATTCAAGAATTCAAAGAATTCGTGCCAACAATGTTCCTCGATACTATTATAGGTGTTATTGTTGATTTTGAAAATTACAAATTTCAAAGTATATATGGCAATGCAAACTGTAAAAATTGTAAAATATTCCGCACTGCATTTTTTTCAGACAATTCGTAAAAACGACTGTAACATTGGAGGAAAAATTATAAATAAAAATACCAACCTCAAAAATCACATTAAACAGAAAATAAACAGTAATTCTGAATTAATTCGTAAAACTTTCTTATTTATAATAAATATTTCTAATATATTGTAGATTAGTAAATATGAATTTCAACTTTCATATTCTAGAGATGGTAATCTTAAAGGTAACATTCTATATCTACTTGAAAAGAAATTAAATCGTAAGCGAAATAATTCTATTATTAATCGCAAGTAAATAATTTTGATATTTCTAATATTATTATTAATCAAGTACCTTAATAGGAAATATTTCTAATTTAAACTACACAAGGTTACTTAAATTAATATAAATTAAATACCGCGTCGGTGCAAATTATCCGGCTTTCCTACTAAAGTTGCTCACCCTTCTTAAATTAATATGCTAATAGAATTAACGGAGACATACACTTACTGGTATAATCAATAGAGTGTGTTCCTCATTTAAGATAAGTGCATAAATTTCCAACATATTTCAGTACCTCCGATGTATTATCACTGTAAATTATACTACAATGTAACCTCGTTCATTAAATTTTAAG